CTTGATTGACTAAAGGCATTCAGCTTAACTTATAAAATGAATTCAAGATTATTTCCTGAATTCATTGGGCGATGAATAGCGATGAAATAAAAATATCCCAACATGGATCTGGATACATTAACATCACTTTATCAGATAAAGTCACCCTGAATAGTCTAATAGAGAACACCCAAAATATCTCTGACAGAAACAGTATGCTATTTATCAGTATACTTCGAAAATGATTGACCGAAGATTAAATCACCACAATTTGATACACAGTTTCTTGAACAAAGGTAGAATTATTGTTATTTATGTTATACAATTTAATTTATAATTAGCAGTACTAGTTGCACAGTGATTACCCAATACTCTGTAGACTAAGTATCCACAGTTCTTAAAATTATTGTTTTTTTATGAAACGGAGTCAACAGATTAAAGTTTAATTATATTTAATTTATTCAAAGAGTCACTGAAATACTAAAGACGATGACGATATCAACATCAAGTATTATTTAAAACAATTAGTCCCGTTTATGAATTTCGATAAAATAATAATAAGACGTAGTTTATTTGAATCGCACAACATTACACAATTCAGATAAACAACGTCTTCTTATTGTTTTGTCGAAATATTATTCAATTGATTAGAATATACACAAGTCATACTGCTTAGTGCCACATGCAATTAAATGTGTCATACATAAATGGTGTGATTTATAGTTAGGAATAATACTAACAAGTGTGCATACACTAGAGGGAATAAAAAAGCATCCAGAACGCAAGTTACATATTAACTGAAAATCATTTTACCGTACTGTTGATAAAATATGGATAAACCTAAATCAGTAGACAAAGTTAAATATAGACAAAACAATAAGAAGACGTAATTTGACTGAATCGTGTAATGTATCTGCGCAATACAATTCGAACAGTCTGATCACACACGGACTTGTCATAGGAATATACATGAAATTAATTATGAGTTGAGAAAATAAATTTAGCTCAAGTTAAATGACATATTGTGAAGGTCAAAATAACAATGAAGATCACTAAACCAAATAACAGAGTTAATAGTACATCTGATATGGAATCAAAACAAAGTTTACCAAGGAAGGTCTAGTGTGATGAAGCATTGTTTTTGAACGTACCAAGGTGGTTTAAACTTCCTAATTGTCATAGGTTTCCAGACCGTTAATTATAATCGAATAAATCTGCTGAAGAAGCCGTGGCTTACACGGCGAAACGTTCAGAAAAATCTTGTTTTGATTTTCTTAACACGCTGGGATTAATTTAAATAATTTATAATGATTCCTAATTGTCAGTTAGGACTTTCACAAACTTTCAGATATGCCCCAAACACGTACTATAGATAGGTTTGAAAGAAGTGTAAACATCAGTTTCATGCCCTATCTCTATAATGTTTTACAATAGAGAGCTAGGTCGACTGTTGTCACCATTAGAGGGTTCTGGGGATTCCATTTACTTCTGAAGCCATTTAGCAGTATGCTCTGGAGCCCTTAATTGCTAAGATAAAACCGTCACTTGTCAACAGTATAGTCTGATAACAACACGATCAGTGCATTTCGAACAAGCACAACTTTAACTACTAAAGGGTTCTTCATGTTAACATATTTGCTTAAAACCCTCTACTCGTCGTAGTGTTACTACAATTTCTCAACCCATTCTTCTACACTTTGGACAGTTAGCATTGGCCACTAAAATGAATAAAAGAGAAGCACTATTTTCAATCCCTTCAGTAGAGAAAACTCTAGTTTCTTAAGCAAACTTGACGGATCTTGAGCCTGTTGTCAGGTTTTTCAACACGATTTCCAGGGATTGCCAAGAAAGACCATTAAATAAACTGTAAATATTCCATACAGAAAAAGACATACTTGGTAAGCAACATAGCTACCAGTCAATATAGAGCCTTCACATTCCGTACCAATTGGATCAGCTCTCGGTATGTGATTTGTGCGTAGCAGTCTCTTCATTTTCTGTTATTCCTACCACACAAAGTCATCTGGTATCATACCTAGGGATCTTCTCAGAATGTTAACTAGATCCTGATTTATTTTTATTTGATGGAAACTGCAGTCAAAACCGCTTGCACTGAAACTTTCAGATATCTATTTAAAGCGATTATAAGTCTGCTTAAATAACTTTTGTGTACCTCTGAAGTCACAGACTATGTTAGCATATGTGTCATGGACAGCTTTTAAGTGAAACTAACCGGTTAGGAAGTGATTACTGCCCAATCTATTGGCCAATTTAGCATGCGCCATTTGGAATATCAAGGATGGAAAGTCGACCACATTTCTTTAATTTATTCCCACGTTTGACGAGTTATGCAACAGATTTCAATACTGAAATTTTATTTCTACAATAGTTGGTTGACGTAGAGGCCGAAATCATTTCTTTCATACACAAGAACCCTGCCACGATTAACACTTCCCAGTTACTGTAAGTGTGAGAAGTTGTCAGAATGTGGTAGATGTTACTGACAAGATTTTAGGGAAGAGGAAAAATGAAGAGTGCTACGGAAACGATACAGACAACATGAAAGAAAGACAAATGAAGCACAATACAGAGAACATATGTAAATGGTGGTTTTAGTGTAAGTCATATCTATTTTGCCATATATGTACATCATTTAACCAATAAACAATCCCGCTACGAAATACTGTCGTGTTCTGCTGTTACACAAGAGCTGATTTACGACATATCGCTCAGTCTACTACTCTCAGTGACTATTTGAATAAACTAAAATGATGGGGGAATAACATACTTAAGAAATAAGTTCTATAATAATAATAAATAATTTTTCCTTCACGTTCCCAGTGGAACATAGGGCTTCAAGCTGGAGGCTTGAAGTTTCTGTAGCAGTGTTTATTTTTACAGGATGGGGTTGCTAGCCTCATGCTCAACCTTTCCCCTTTACCAGCTTTATTTCTGGTTTAGCGAGGTAAAGGAGTGCGTCGACCGGGTTCGAATCCCGGACCATGTGCATGGTCGGCGAGCGTCCTAACCGCTATGCCACCGACGCACAAGTTCTATAACAGTTAAGAAAAACGTCTCCATCATGTACTGAAATACGTCAGTTCATCATTAAGTAAAGGCTTTGTATCGAAAAACAGACTAGCAATGTTACTTATCCATAGTTGAATCTTTATTATTATCGTTCCCTTGGGTTCAGAGCGGAACAAAAAGCTTCAACAATACATCTCCACTTTGCACTATTTTCTGCTGTCCTCTAAAGCTGGTTCTATGATTGCCCATAATCTCTCATCCCCTCCATGTCGCCCCGCACCGACGACCCACTCGTCGCTTTCCATTGGCATTCCACTCGAGCGATGTCATTCGACAACCTCCTCAGAGTATGCCCAATCCATCTCCATTTTCTTCTGCACATTTATTAAACAATCGGCTGTTGGTTAGTTTGTTGCTAATTCTGGGAATTCGATCTTCAATATCGAGCAAAGGTGGCTGTTGATAAGTCTGTAACTTGTCGGAAATAGTTTTCGCGATGCGCAGTGCAAGTTTTTGATCCATATCGAAGAAATGACTGACTTACAATTGGAGTTGAAAATCTACGTTTTGTTCTTTATGCCGCAGATCACGTGTTAGTGATCACACATGATGAAGGTGCATCTTGCCTTTCCTAATCTGGCTAGCCTTGACATCTTCATGTATGTTGTCACCTGTGGTTGAAACGATGCTTCCTAGATAAGTGAAGGAAGTGACTTGTATCAAATCTCTCTCATTGACAGTGATTGGTACTGTTTGTTGTTGCTCTTAGCAGATTATCTTCATCACCTCCGTCTTCTCTATGTACACCTGGAGCCCTGTCTTCGCTGCTGCCATCTTCTGTAGGTTTGTTGGTTTTAGCCTGCAAGTCTTCGAATTTGTGACATCAAACATAAATCATTCGAGAAATCTAGATCTGCTGGTCTTCTTATTGGTCCAGAGGATTCCTGTCTTCTCACTTCTCACAGTCTCAAGTATAATCCAGTCAACCTCAATGAGAAATATCATTGGCAATAATAGGCAACCTTGTGTATTCACGTCAAACGGTTGCATAGTTTAATCTGAAAAGCTTAATTATAACCATTTTCAAAATTTCATTTCTGTTGACCTTATTAATTCCTGCAACACCTGATTGATGCTTTATACTGCTACTTTCAACTCGTTACCATTGAAAGGTTCACGTCTGCAATATTATCCCCTTCCTTGTCCAGCAATCTTAGCCAAAATAGGATTGGGTTGGGAAAGAATTAGTGGTGGTCAAACCAAAACTTGGTATCTATCCATGAAGTTATCAGTGTTGTTTTGAGCCACTTAGATAGATGTAGGCTAACTCGTTGGGATCTTTGAGGCACCAAGAACCAATGGTTGAAGACATGGCTCAAAAATCGTTCCCTATTGGGCAGATGAATTCACTTTCTGCAATCTCTTAGATCCATTAAGTCATCGTGTTTTTCCATGTGGTGAATCTTTCTCATGTATATTTCTGCTTATTATAGTTATTTTGAATTTTCTCTTTTTCTTATCTTTATGTGTTACATACAGTATGAAAACTTGAAATACATCAGTTTTGTGCTAAGTTCCACGTTGAAACTCAGTCAGATCTAGGTGGGAAAACAGATGAGATAACAAATTTATGTTTTATTCATATCCTTGATTTTCCAACCGTGATTGATCCAAGAAACAATGAAAACAGTGGGAAAAACAAATGGAGTTAAGAATACTAATTCACCAAAATTCAACTTTTTACAGCAGTTTAATCAATAGGTTTAAGATTAGTCTTCACCGATGTCAGTCAACTAAAGACATTTTCACCAACATAACTTGACATTACTATCCAGCATACTTCTGGGCTACTCAAATACACTTTTTTTGTACTTAGTTGAATAGGCTAAAAACGCTGTATGCTGTAATTAAAGAGGTATTCTTATAATTGGATTTTTTTTATTAGGTAAAATCTTTTTTAAAATGAAGCATAATAAAAAATTGTTACAAAGTTATGCAAAGTAATCTAATAAAGAGTTAAATTTTAAAACTTCAGAGAAAAATTTCAGTGTGGAGCCTCTAACTTTCCACTCTTTTATCCATTGAATTATCTTCTGTTTTTCAATATCCCTTGCTTTCACAACACTTTCAGGATCAGCAGGATTAGAAGATCTCAAGTCTAAGTGATGAGCAGCATCAGCTATATTGATAACAGTAGCTAAGGGGACATGACTATTATTTGTAATAGAAAATGCGAACCATGGATCAATTTCACCATTGCTATAAGCGAGAAAAAAAGAAATGTGGTAACTAAACACAATTATAAATTCTCAAACATACAGCTGGGTGATATGTAAAACTGCATAACAGTAAACTAATTTACACTGACAAATATTTCAAGAAGAAGAATTAAAACCAATATGACTGTTAAAGACATGTGTTTTCGAAGTTGTGTGACTATGTTGGTAACAAGTAATGAAACTATACCAGCGAAAATTGATAATTTAATTGCTGGTGAGGTATCATTTAACAAAACCTTAGCCTGATAAAATGATATTAACTTCGCAATCGGCAAATAGGGTTACCTGACACAACGAAGTATAAACAGAGGTGCTTTAGTTCGAATCGCCGGTCTTCAACTGGCTTTTTTTTCTTATCTAACAATGTGCCTAACCCTCACTATTGCGTAGCATGTTGCGTCATGTAAAATAAGCAAATGAACGAAGGTAAGTAAGGTAAACTTCTAGTTATTCTAAACCATCGAGAGGAACAGAACACATCATACAGGCGAACACTTCAGTGGATAGGATGTGTTGTCAAGGGATAAAAGTAAGTTATCCTGTGAACCAGCCGACATGTGATGGTGTAGATTATTAAAATAATGCGTGTAATTCAACAATCCATGAGTGAATAGGCAGGACAATACACAAGTGATAATTGACGCTAGAATATTCTCTACAAATTATGAATAAACAGACAGCAGAAACTATTAGGTTAACACAAACAAATAAAGTTTGCAACTTGTCTCTGAGTATCATTATCTAAAAGTGAAGCTATTGAACAACACTATTCCGTTTGTTGCTTTTATCTCATACTTTAGTTCTAGTAGATTACTTGGTGCATGTAAAAATGAGACCGTACAGGTAGCTTTTTCCAATTATGTAATCGTTTCAATCTAAATTTTTGATGATTATCACTAATACATTACAGAAATTGTCACTGCTTTTTCTAGAATGTTTGCTAGTTGGTTTTGAAGAGTATCCATAAGAGAATTGTCATTTTTGTCAAGTGTCTAACGACAGGATATAGTGTTAGGCTATTTATGCCTATAACACACTTTTTAAGCATATGTCTAGACATTTTTCAATTGAAAAACGTATCATTAAGACTGAAAAAATTCTGTTACCTGAATACAACATTGGTAGTGGTAGACACTGATTTACTCCAAAATTCAACTGTCGACCAATTGACGCGTGGACTGACACCATAACGACTTTGACAATAAGCTGAAAAGGCTTTGAGATCCCAGTTTAATGGAGGCATTATGTTCACAGGACCGGATGCACATATTGGCGTTGTCATCTCCATACAGGTCTGTAAGACAATGTGAACAGCTTAAAAGTGAATAAATATACTAATAAGTGGAAATAATCTAAAAACAAAAGAACAATCAAAGCTCGGAAAGCAACAAAACTACCAGAACTAGAAACCAAACATAGTAATCATCAGTATTCACTTATGATGAGGTACATCACAGTAATTTGTTAAAAATCAACATTATAAAACTTGAAACATTTGCAGTATAAATCTTTCGGGTCTGCGTTTGAGACTTACACCGAACTCCCCAGGTTCATACACGCAGATATGATCTTGAACAGTCTAAATTTTAGGATCATATATATGTGTATATTCAGTTCGGAAAACTCATTTCACAAAGATAGATAATAGATAATAATTAACCTAAAATAGTTTCTAGTCCTTTAGAAATAAAATATGAATTCAATGAACTTTGAGACTCAGCTGTTCTAGTCCAATTCATCTCCTTTGACAAGCGCATCGATATAGTCAAGTTTTTATATAATCTGCAGTGACTATCCATTTACGAAAAGTCAGTAAAGTGGTCAAATATACAGAGTACTTCAGTTATTTGGCAAGTTGACAGGTTTCTGGTGAAATCAATGAATCAATCTGCATTAGATTTAGTATCAATGAGATGACCAACTAAACATCATAGGGGGTGTATGGTACACAGCATTTTGTTCTGTTTTACTCGACGATGCTTGACAAAAATGAGATGATTAAAAGTTTTTGAACATGTCTTTGCCGAACTTCCAGGCAGTAAGAAGTGTTGACAATGAACACAGAATGTTAGAGCAAGTTGATCGATGATATTATGAATCTTCATGTATTGAGATATTTCAAACATGCGTTATGCATGTTGAGTCATCGCATTGCACTAAGTGAAATGTAAGCAGAAGTAGGATTCGATCGGAAAGAAGTTAAGGTTGGTCAGACGAAAACATAGCAACATGTCGTGAGGTCCCTGACTATTGGTCTGAGCCATCCAGGTGGGTTTGATTCGTCTGAATGTTCATACTATAAGTTCTGGAATATTTGTCTTCATATATAACAATAGCAATAATCAGTGATAATTACTTAGTATTCTTCCGAAAGGGATTCTCTATCACTTAGTTCTTATACCAAACGTGAAAATGACTCTTAAACACATGTAAAATCATATTGCTAAACTACAACGTTAGATCACTCCGGAAGAGCACGTTGTATGACTCTGGAAACAGATAATTAGATCTTCTGCAGAAGACACAGGTAGTACCAACTAAGATGAAGAAGAATTTGCTGACCGACCTCCCCCTACATCCAAGTACATTAACATTTTGTAAATTTAGCTCTGTTGCACAATATATCTTGTCGGCACTCCTGACACAACCACACATCGCTACAACACTTCCCTACAAACGGGGGTGAATGTCGGCTTTAGGTCAAAGAGTATGATAAGTGTGAGATTTAGAAACTTATGTAACGGCAGTGTTTTGTTCGATACACTTTCTTACAAGTCTGAAAGATGCCTAGTTCTCTGGAGTTGATTTCCTTGAGTCACTTAGTCTTCTGATGACCATGAACTCTAGCATCTTAGTTACTGTGCTAGTCGAATTGGCGAACCTATGGTTGTCACAGAAGCATTTATCCTCCATCTGACAAACTAGGAAAATCAACGATCCACACCATTTTGTCAAGACTACCTTGGTTATTCTAGCCAATCTCTTCTTACTATTATCTTTATATATTAGTGGTCATACTTACTTCACTTTAGACAAGAGGTTTTCATAACAAATTCGACAACGGTGCATATTCACGTCCTACTTATTTTAGGATTGAGTGGTAGGTGAGGACAGTATTCATCGCTAACTTGTTATCAGCTGTCGCTTATGTTCGAAGTCAGTGTCGTTCTACGACCAGCGTTGTGTCAGTCAGTGCAGAACGTCAAAGATATGCTATTCCAACAGTTCCGATTTCTTACTTCGGGATTTAATCATCTGTGATAAAAGAGTACACTCAAGTGTTTCGTACTTGTCTGCATATTTGAAAGCCTCGCATAAAAGTCATAATTTATTTCATCTGAACAGAAGAAAGATAAGTAAACGATGTGCGCCAATTATTTGTTATCTCTACCTTTAGAGAGAAGCATAAATGAAAAAATGTGCTACACAGAAACACAAGGAAGTAAGGTGAACTAACTGGTAGTTAAATCTAAAAAATTAAATGAAGTATACAAAGTTTTGGATGACGAGTTACTCTCACCAGTCAAAAGTGTTTTTATTTAGGTTTATGCTTGAAGAAAACCAAGAATAAAGTTATTCACTCACAATAATTTGAAGTAACAAAAATACATATAGATTATTACACTTTACACCAACCAGCGGAGTCTTCAGACTACAGTAACGCCTAGTTAATCGTTAAATAAAATAGACTGATATTACATATTGATTACAGTAAAAAAGATTCCAACAGAATGATCTGATCATCTTCAGAAACAATCAAAAATACACAAAAAAGAAATAAAATAAATTAATTCGAACTTTTTAATGTTGTTCGACAAACAGTATATGAAAATATATGGTCATATCTTAACCAAAGTTCACAAGTTATTGTTAGAAGTTTTAAAGTTTTTTTTGGAAATACCTATGTTACAAATATACACACATTCATACTAATTGAAGCTACTTATGTAAGAACAGAAAAATAAGACAAATATCTATCTTCAGCTTTTAGGAAGGTAGAACACGATTTAAGGACATAGGCGAAAAAGTGTTACAATGCTACTAAACCTAAGAACATGTAATACGTACAAAAAATGATCTAACAATGAAATATTTAATCTGTCTGTCTGGCTTCAACATAGAACTTGGCACCGAAGTGCAGCAGTTCGAGTTGCCACGTTCCAATTGGCACACAAGGTAGACAAGAAGATGAGTGAAGAGAATCAATAGAGTTTGACAAATATAAGAGTGAAACAGAATGGGTAATTGTAGAAAGGAATATGAAAGATTACAGAGACTGAATACATCTGCGCCATTCACAACGATTTTGAGCCATGTCACATACTGTCTCCAGCCAATGAATAATAGCTTTAAAACACAGTCAAACTGAATTATAATTTTACGAATAAGTTGAAATGATTCACTGATAGATAAGATGTACTACAAAGATATTATAAGTAACTTATACGGCCGTATTAAAACCCTATGTAGACACAGAATGGTTAAATGTGTTAACTGTTTCAAATATCTACAGAAGAAAATCTGCTAATGATGACAACAATTCATCAAATGTCCGAGAGAAAATGATTTGGTTGTTACCAACATATGTAGAATAACTTGGTGGTAAATTATGTTGATACTTACCTGAGACCGAGTGTACACAAGATCGACACATTAGCATCTTTCCCTGTGGTGTTGTGCCACGTGTAGTTCGTCATTCATACCTACTGAATATAATCTCCGCATGTTATGAAATAGCACATACTCATACTATTAATGACAAAAGAATAACTACTTTTCGATGAGGGTAGCGATGATTACATAGTATTGTTCAGAGAAATCGTTTCACATGGAATTTTCAGTGAGCATATTTAGCATGCTAATCAAATAAGGTACATTAAATTCAACAAGAAAAAAAGAAGAATGAGAAAAATGCACTAACTTGTATTTCCCATCCAGAAGCATCTAGACCAGCTATACTGTTCGAAATATTCAGACAGTTTTGATTACCAGAGTAGTTTGTTAAACTATACAGAGCTTTGGCAAACAATGAAATACTAGTTTCTACAGGTTGTTGAGGATCGTATGCAGATAGGCTAGAGCACATGTACTAATAGAATAAAGATAAGACAAACAGAGAAAATATTTGTGAATCATAATTAAACATCCACTAAAATGAAAAAAAATTTGAAGTATGAAACATAAAATTATGAAATAAAATGACTAAAATTTAAGAAAAAGGCGTTTTGCACTGCTGGTAGGTTTCAGAGAGCAAATTCAATCATTTGTGAAAGTCCCTCCTTGGTATTATGACAAGTCCACGAACCAAACTAGCATTTGTCAATGAAACAAAACCGCAATTCACTACTACACAACTAACTCCACATTAATTCACTAAGAATGATAAGAAACTATCATAGTGAATAAAGAGAAAAATATCACAGACAAGACAATGCTGTCCACTACCACCAAAAGTACAGCTAATGAAGCCTCTTCGTAGCTATGGATATGCTATTCACACTTCTAAGAATTAAGCATATATAGTGGCCAGTTCCATAAATACTGCAAAGATTGTTTACAAATAAGTGCATATCTTGCGTCTCCGGGTACAGAAATACTAAAGACTATGATTAATTAGTCTCACCGTATCATGCTATTTGAAAACGACTTACGGATAATACTGTCGTGTTTCATATTCAAACATGCCAATTAATCGTGTGGAGAAGTTGCACAAATTCAAATTATCAATTCAGTTAAATGTCGTAAGTGATGAAATGTCACTCTGAGGGAAGTATCTTGAGATTTGAACATCTCATATAAATTTAAAAAATATAGTAAAATGAGACAAGTGCATCTGGCCACTGGTATCTAGTGACGAACGAAAAATCGTCATTCTGATGAACATCAACAACCTAATTTAAATATCCCCATAGTGATAATTATAGAACAGGATTTAGGCTTACTATAGTTAAAGACACCACTAAGAACGCCCAGTTCAGTCAAACGGAATTGCTTTCGAAATCACCTATCACGTATATCAACATCTTCCATAAAAAGATTATTTGCAATCACGAATTTACCTATGTATTTTCAGCAATCAAACGTGGAACATACACCGCAACACCCCACACAATATTGTATTTAGAGTGTTCGAGCACATTATATTTAGTTCTACAGTATTCAACTTAAACCAGCCGTGAAAATAAAATGTTGGATAGCCATCAACAGGACAATAAAATCAAGCTATATAGAGTACTATTCATTGATACAACTTTTAGAGAAACAGAAACACATCCAAAGCGTTAGAACGACACCACAAGAGCATAAGGCAGTTGACTAGAGGAACACATCAGACCAAAAATTGGGTGAAGATTCAGTTTCTAGCTAAATAAGCACTTCAAGCATTAAATACTTTTTGGAGTGCAAATGAGTAAGTTTACCGATGACAGCCCTTATCCAATACAACTACTGACATCGATTTTCTAAAGGATGCCAAAGGATGACAACACTAGAAAGGAAAGGTTGTGCTACATTTTACACAAAATCATAGTGAGAAATTAAAATATGCATTGTATACTGATAATTTAGTTGTTTAGTAAGTAACATGAGAATCATTCTCTACTATACATTATCTTGTAAATGAGTGATAATATATATATATATATATATAATGATAAGAGATACAGTAATCTTACAGTTTGGTGCAGAGGATGGGATAAGTATAATCATGTATTTACATAATATGAGCGAAAATTGAACTGTTGACCCAGTAACTAACACCGGAGTAATGAGTATACAAATAATGAGCTTTTAGTCATGAAGTCAATCATGACATGGTGCATGGTGACCAACAGTTCGACTCCCATGAGATGAGTGGTTAAAATCATTGGGGAAGTAAATCAATGAAGGAATTTAAAATTCATAAAAGTAGCCACATACCTTGACTGGCCAAGCAGGTAAACTACCTAGGAAATTAGCTGGATAGGGATAATTGACCATTGCTATCATACCCAAAGTGTCAGCAAGGTAATCTATCAAGTTTTGAACGTTAGTTAAAGGTGTGCAAGTGTTGAACATGTGGGACAATAATTCCTTTCCATCAGCTAGTAAATGAAATACCACACAATATATGTTAAAATTATAAGAAAAGACAATTTATGCATGCTACAGTAAAAGATAACTTGTGTGAGAAAGTTTTCCTTAATGAAACAAACAATTCTATTAATACAGCTTACTATATACAGATATATACATTTTTATGAAGATCAAGCAAACCTAGTCATGATACTTATTCAGCTTTTCATTATGTTTAATTCCACTCGATTTACAAGGAAACAATGTGGTTAGGGAAAACACACAACAGTTACAACCAGATAATCAAGGAGGCTAGGTGGGATGCCCAGTGACTTAAAACCTCTCTCCCAAACGGATATGGTAATCTCGACATTACTAGACTTGTAGTCTGTAACAGTTTTGTTTTATTCATCGTTATTTGAATGAAAGATACGGCAATGTCACATTACAACCTTATTCGTTTGCTATGTAGATCATAGTGGATAGCGTTTTAAACGTAATTTACTGTTAGTAATCATTATAAGGCTTTCAATAGCTGTAGTCTCCTACTGACTTTGTTATAACTTTTTAGGTATATAATATAGGTGCGGATTCATTCCTAAGGTACATGTTTAGCTGTATATATTACTGATTGATCAGCAAATCTAATGTAACTATTAAAGTTACATTATTTTTTGTGGGACATGCGAATAATTATCAAAATAAACAAGTGTAGCCAAAATGTCTCCATTGATTGTATCAAATAATAATGTGTAAATTAATAATTCTACCTCACAAATTGCAGTTGCCTGCATAGAAATAATTCGTATGCGACGGCTGAATTTAAAGTTTTGAGAACTACTGACTTGTTGGATGTAATGTCATAATCTCCACTCACAGCGAAAGGATATCACTTCAAAATTCCATAATAATGAAACTTAATAACAGTATGCATACTAGCATTCCAAGTTGTGGGTTACATCTACCAACGGAAGATTTTCCACGCATTGGCAGATGTCCAAAGTTGAGTAGGTAAACCGACAAGTTATAGTTCCTATTTGGTGTAGTATATGTTCAAAAAGAAGATATTGAGTGTATCTGACGATTGCTAAGTATTCGAAATAAGAAATAATGAGCCGACAACGTACTGTTAGTTTTCCGGGAATACATGTGACGATGTCATTTAGTGTCGGATAAAAGCCAGTGGAGGGCTCTTATTTGCAGTGAAAATGACGAATGATGCTTAACAGGGATGGCTAATTATACCGGCTTATTTAATTTTACTTCAGATGCATTAATAGATGTGACTACGATTAGTTTGAAGCCATTTTAGTCTCAATAGTCTGGATCACGCAGCTGATATAGTCCTTCTACATGATGATGTTGTCAAAATACAGTATTCTGAACAACGCGTGGAAAGATGTGACTATGTATTGTGTGAGACTCGACTGACTGACTGGTTTCAGCATAGACGTTTGCGTGAGACTCGTCTCCACCAAGTTTACGATGACGTGACAGAACTGATCGGCACCGAAGCCACGCGCTTGAAGATAGGGAGTGAGAGTTTTCACTACTTCACTTATTTGGGAAACTAAATCAGTCCTAATGTAATAGTTCCTATTAAAATTTCGGTACAAATGCAAAATATTCACCTGGCATTTGCCATTTTCGGAACAGATATGATAGCGGGCTATTTATCAAATGACGTGTATACCGTGTTTCGGTATGTACTGCTTTACTATTTTTTAAATTTTTGATTACAGCTTGATTCCACACCGTATTTTTGCTACAAGTATGGAATTTTCAGCATGGATATCGGTAGCCCAAATTTTGCAGGCCAACCATAGATATCAGATGTTCGTCGGCAGGGGATCGAACCTCGGACCATGTGCATGGTGGCGAGAGTCCTAACCACTGTGCCACCGACGCACGGTTAAGAGAGCAATTGAAAACAGACATGAAAAAACCACAGATGTTTTCGTTCAATCCCCTTTGTTTGGATAAGCAACATATGAGTAATAATGAGGTTGGCCATGATTTTATGTAAGGAGGAAAAGCTAACTGATGAAGTTGAAAAGCCTCGCTGAGTATGCCAACTTGAACTGCTGTACTTCTGTGTAAAGTCCTATAGTAAAACTCTGTCGTAGGATAGTTTCATTTCATAAAACACGGTGACGTTTCGAGTAAAATCTATTGCTCATAATAATTTCAACGTGTTCACATGATGTTTATATTTTGTTTATGTAGTTCCACTAGTTCTTGACCTTTGATTTTATTGGAAATAACATTTCCCATATCACTGGTATTGATGCTCTGCCATTCCTATTTAAAGTGTTTGGTGTACATGCAATGAACAGAGACTCAGTAATCAATCTCTCCGTTCACCTAATTGTTATTTTTCATAAATTTAGCTTTGTCACACCCTAGACTTAGCTAAAGTCTTATACTCAGATAACCAACTGTTCCGCATGTACAGGACTGATTTATGGAGTTGACTTCACAGTAATTCCAATGTATTTTATAGGTTGAGTTATTTTGTCTAACCGGATCAGTAGGGTCTTTCAGCCAACACAGCTTGTCCCTGAATGAGTTAATAGGTTTGAATGCAACCATAATTCTTGATTTATTAAGAATCCTGGAGGGTTTCCAATGTCCCTCCTTTATATGGTAGCACTGTAGACGCCTTTAATTCTTTATGTTACGGATATTTCACTTAGCTAACCCTGAGTTTACCGATAACGGATATGATGACTTGAAGTCTAAAAGGATGGAAATCCAGTAGAAGCAAAGTTATGCATGTGTTCATAAAAAGTTGTCGCATTCTGGTGGGTACTTAAACTTCAGGTCGTCATGTCAGTTATACGCGTACGCAGGTTTAGTTAGGTATCTATGTAGCAGGTCACAAAGCCTGGATAATGAAATGAAACAGATAAGAGAAACATTGCTGCTGAATAACTATCCCATAAACTTTAATGGAAAGTTCAGAAAAGCTTACAATAAAAGTAAAAATAGTAGCAAAACTTTTGACGATAACATGAATTAGGAATATAAGGCAGGATAAGATATAAGGGAACTATGTAAATGAAATCTGAAAATCATGTGAGCGCCTTGATATGATTATGAGCAACAAACCCTGCTTGGAACATTATCGATGAGCAATAAATAATATATCATTTTGTTTTATCATGTGGAATGATTCTATTACAAAACTTATTTTCTTTACTTTAATATGTGCTTTTATGAAGTGTGAAAAATTGAACTAATATACTTTAGACAAAGTTATTGAGTCAATTAGGCAGCACCTACTCATGCTCAATTATACTGATAATTTACTTGAAGTAACTAACGGACACATAATTTGTATAACCTTGACTACGGTAAACTATGAAGGTTGGCTAGCATTGATTTATGATACAGATAATGAAAAACTGATGCAATAGTAAAACTCACGACTTTGGCCCACGTTTGCGATATTGCTCCAAGAGTGTTGGATATTTTTGACACAATTTTCTCCACCATATTTTAAGAAGCTATTGGTTGCCACTAAGCTGAACCCATTGCAATCAGATAAACCAGGAAACAACCAAACAGGTGCAGAAGATGCAATAGCTCTGAATAACAAATAACATTGAAAAATTAACGAGTTCCACTATATTTTGATAAAGTGTCATAAGTCTTTATATCTTTTGCATAAATCTAATAACTGTTGACGTGTTCATGGTAAGTGAATACACTAGGTCGTAAAAGAGACAATAAGACACGGTTAAAATCAAGTGAACAGAACTTTAAACGAGTAAGTTAAACCTAAAACATCAAGATTTCCGACTTGAAACAAATCGTTTGTTGGTCCTAGTGCACTCATAGCATAATGTGGAATAAAAAAACTACGAGAATTCTGCACTTCTAACAATCTCCGATTTACGGAGGATACGGAGTGTGATGAGATACCAAGAAACCTAATCTACTCAATATTTTACTAAACAAACTTGCAATAAATAAGACTTCTTGTGTTAGATAATAACGGTTTTTCAACGGTCTATACAGATGACCATATTTCCGATGACAAAAAAGGTCAACACCTAAAATTCATTAGATTCATTTGGTAGGCGTTTAGTTATTCACATGCAGGGCATGTGTAAATGCTATATTGCGCCATGTTTGAGTTTTAAATAAATAACAGCATTAGCACATAATATAAAATACGTCAGAAATTCCACAACAAATACAGTGAAAACCATATTTCACTAAAATAATTTCCTTGTTTAACACAAAATAAATTGCTGAGATAGTTGCACTGTCAACTACATTATAATTGCCAGAGTATGTGGACAATTATATTAATATTACATTTGTAGGAATATTCTTTTTAATTCCTTAAAAATTAAAATGAGAATTAACCTATGAAAAACACCTATGATACTCATAGAGCTAGAACTCTGAATATGAATTTATGGGTGAAAGCTTAAGTGGCACAGACATATGTTCAGAGTGGTTCATATAAATTATCTGCATTTTTACAACAGTTAATTTTCTGTTCACTCAAACTTTTCTGGACTAACTTGAATACCATTAAATTTCTTGTCACGTTTAGCTACGAAAATCAGGCTTCTAAAATGTTGAATGTTTGTTGTACTACTACGTTTATTAGCATGTCTAGTTCTGAAAGATTAGTTTAACGGCAAATAGACAATTTTATTTTGGTGGAAGCTTCTGCTCACCTGGTCATTTTCAAAGAAAATAGTAAAAATAAAGAAAATTGGAGGAACTGCAGGAGATAATTGGTTTTGAAAATAGCTATTGAGGGGTCAATACTATATATGATTAATCATAAAAATTTCGGGAATTCAGTAACTATCATATTTCCGCAAGCCGAAACTCTTTAATGTGAGACCTCATTACGTAATTCACTGACTTTACTCCGACAACCTGAACAGTTCTTCTAGAAGATTTAGGGTTGAATGTAGGTTTTTATTGGTGCGACACAAACTCAACAACGTAGCCTTTAGTTAGTCACTAAAAAAGCTCATTTGCAAAAAAAATTTAAATACAAAAGACACTTGACTTCAAAGTTACCCTGCAATCTCATTAGGGTACTTTTGCCTGATCCATGCAGCTAGCATGCCACCATACGACCCCCCAAACGCAATGACAGGTGATGAGGCAAAGCATGAATAATTAGTCTTCAACTGATTGATTAGAAGCACAAAGTCAGCTAACGCTTGTTCTGCAGTCAGGTAGCCAAAATGACTGCGATCCTTCACAGTTCAGGAAACAAAAACAAAAAGAGATACTTTAGTTAGGAAAACAGAGGTTTATCATAGCATCGGAGGTAGAGAAAGTGACTTGATGTGCTAAGGACAGCAATGATATTGCAAACAGACTTTTAATGTCCTAAAGTGGGTTATAATTTGTGATGAGAAAACTAGCCTCATCCAAGGAGTGAATCGCCACAAAAAACAAGCAGATATATAGCGTAAATATAAATTTGATAAACAGTAACCTTACTATCTGTGTGATGAACTGTGCACCCTGAATTAATCGTATAACAATAAAAACAGATTTTATTGGAGTTTTTAGGTATGTAAAGAATCTGGTGCCATAAAACTTAAACTGAATGGATTCTCTAATCCGTTTAAAATGCATCACAACAATTACGCCTCTTTTAGTTCCTTACACTTGAACATGAGTTTTACTATGAACATTAGTCAGAAAACTTTACCTGTTTTTCATAATCATTAATCTATAAATCCCGTTCGTCAGTTGTTATTTTTTCATTTTATAACAACGTCAAATACTTAAAGTTCGGTCTATGCAATTTTCTCTTCGTAGAAGATCAGAAGACAATCTCCCGAACTACATTTTAATCCGTAATTAAGTTCCTTTGACTAACTTTGACCAATGATTTAGTTTCTGTGCTAGTATGGGGTGTGGTCACATTTAGTCTTCTCATAAATGAGACAGAACAGTTTAGTATGTACCGCAAAATGATGAACCAGCTAAAAATTGACCGCTACTGTTCAGTACTATTCTATAAAATCATATTGGATGACTAAGAAGCTATTACAGATGACTACAACAGCACTAAATTAAACGTCATGTTCCTGGAAGAGTGAGTTCCCACGAAACAGTAACTATGGATTATGAACTGCCTTCAGGTTGCGAAAGGAAATCAATCATATTTTTGGAGAAAGCTATTAGAAAAATCATACTAACAACTCTACATTACACTGGACGAGCCAGTAATTCCAGTGCATGGGTTAGCATTTGACTGGAAACTTACCTTGAAAGATGAATTACCAAAAGGCAGCGATTCGCCATAATATCGATGTTCAGCGAAAACAACTGAGGCATTCAGCTCCTGAGCTAGTTTCCAAATGAAACCCTAGATCAAACGGCGTTTTAGATTTTGTAAAAAAAAACTCACAGAATTTTCGGCAAATGTCTCTATAGCACCCTCATTACCGGTATAGAAAAAAATCGGACCACCGGGAGAAAACGATTTGTTATTAATTAAGTACTTAACATTGAAATTCTCATCATTAACAAATGAAAAATGATCAACCTAAATCCGTCAGGGCATTTATGGTGGATGTGCTTACTTTTGTTCGAAAAAACTTCGTTTCGTATACAAAATCAGACTTCTTGACTAATGAATTGGGAAAATGACTCGTAAAAAATCCAAGGGACAATGGAAGCAAGGTATAGACGAAATACAAACACAACATCCCGCCAGTCACAATAAAATAAAAATTGCGCTAAAAGAAATCGGTAGCTAATCCAACGCACTCAATGTCCAACATGAGCGTAGCTTTTGTCACTTATTTTCTTAAAAAAGAGACTTTCCGACTACCATCTTAAACACCTGTGTGCTCTTTTCTCTTACCCTTTCCGACAGAGGACAAACGACCATTTTCCAAACACTTGATTTCCTATCTCCAGAAAATTTGAGTGAATATGAGAACAAGCAGGAATGCTCACTTTTAATCTAGATCTGTCCCAATATAATCTTTTCATCCGTGATATCTGCAAATAGATTTTTACGAGCTTCAGTTTGGCGTAGACAGTTGGTGATAAGGACTGATAGATACTAATCATTTTTTCCTAGTTGAATCAAGTTGCTGATTTTTGCGGAAAGCCAGATAATACCATTTTTGGAATACCATTTATACCATTTAACCATATTGAAAGTGTTCACCAGAATCTTGGTAGTCAAAATGATTTTTTTATTTGACCACATTTAAATTATCTCAATCAAGCCAATGTTTCTCAGCCCCGAAATGTAGTCTTCCAAATCGCTATGCACCATTTTGAAATGCCTTGATAAATGGAGAAGTTTATTAGATTTATTCGAGGATGTAATAGCTCAAGAGCCATGAAGACAAAACTATGTCTTATTTGACCCGTAGAAATAGTTGTATTTGTCTCTAAGTAGTACCTCTACCGGAATACACTCATAGAATTATCACTCTCAGTAAGTGATCGTAGACAATAATACAGTTTTATGCTGGTTTCTTGGTGGAAACCAGCTACTGAATAGGCAAACTAGCCAGCAGCGATACCGAAGGATGCATTTCACGTGGTATCATTCGGTTCAGCATTGAAAATTAGATAAACCTACGGTTGTTAACAATTTACAAAATTTATGCCTCAAGGATCACCGAAGAAAACATACTGATGCAGTATCATGTCGCACTCGTTCACATCAGGTGATGAAAATCTTTTGTATGCATAGCTTGATACATCTTTGCATCATCGGTTAATCAAGAACAGTTGTTCACTTATAAGACGGTTGCTAGATATTGATGTGTGATGGAACTAGAAAAAAAGATTATCCTCAGAGACTCAGCGGTGTTTTGGCTAAGGTGCCTTATCATATGCAATTACTGGACGCTGTTATCAATGAAAGTGCAACCTTTTAAAATGTACACAACCTCCAACTTCGTATTAAATCAATAGGATTACTACACATCGTTAACAATAAACTTGTCAAAGGAAAAACTTTGAAAAGATACTATGAAGTGCTGATCTAGTTTCCATAAATACAGTTAGTTACATGTGCAAGTCATCCTTGAGAGTTCAGGATTACACCGCAAATGAAGTTGACGTTTTATGCATGTTATACTTGACAAATGAACAAGGCATGTGGCAGTGAAAACCGTAGAAGAATGCTGCCATGGCCGCAGAATAAGGAAGAGGAATGAGTCGGTTTCAGGAGAGATAGTCAAATATGAAGAAATTAACTTCTGTGTTGCTTCCTGCTAACTGCAATAAATTCGACAATGCTCCTCACTCATTTATATACAGTATTCCAGTAGTGTCATCAGCCTGGTCACAGTATCATATCATTATCATATATACAGTATACACCTAACACTGCCTACCACATAGTTCTTATTCTGTTTGAGTGAAAATAAATTTCTATCATGAACAGATGAAGGCCTAACTTATTAGTGAGACCTGAAGAAATACTTATTGACGTAAATAAATATATTCTCATAGTACAGTACATGAGGGACGCCAGTTTACAGGCATCATCAAATTGTTACAGAAATAGGACCACATTATTTAGTTGCAATTTACAGTCGATAGCAAAATATGTTTTACATGTACTTTGGAGATTATACATACACTTGATAAGTGTTAATCCCAGTAGTATAAAACATCCTTTTCACTTATGTACAATCACTTCTGTGCACAGTTGTAAAAATCTGCTAGATTGTCAGCGAGTGCAACATATCAGGAAATACAGAAGTATTGTCTTCGAATTAACAAAAAAACCAGTGGCCGGGCTTATCTGTCACGTTGGTTGAAATTTCGCCAGGTAAATTTTTTATTAGGAGGATTTATCAAAATGGTGTCATATGTTTCATGGATTGATAGGAATTCGCATTTCCTGACTAGTATGTTGGTGTTCGCGTCATATGATCTGTCAATGGAGTTGAAGATTGAACGATCAATTCTTGGTTGTTTGCTCAAAACCAACTTCCCCAATTTTCGCGGAGGCATCAATACGACAGTCATCGTCTCATCGGTCGCTGTTCAGAAAGAAGAGTAAAACATCGTCAGAAGTAATCTTATGATTTCTTATTGTAATATTTGTTCACAGACCTTAGTTCAGTTATAATTTTTATATGTTGGTGTAACAATAAAGAAATCTCAAGCGGCAGATCGGTGTTTTGGTTTTTTCGTCCGTTATAACTAAGCGTTTCTGAAAACTTCAAGGAACAGCGTGGGCCCGAGCGTAGCGAGAGCTGGGCATTAACGGTTTATGAGACGTGATTGACAGTTTCTGACGATAGAAAGAGAACTGGCGGATTCAAACAGTTGGTGAAAGTTTGGATAGTCGCCGTTCATTTTTCCTGGCGCCGGTCAAGTCCTCTTTGAACAAGCAATATCTGGAACGCTTTTGGAATTGGGTCAAGTTCAACAATGCCTGGGTCAAACAAGGGACAGAGCGTCTTGGATGCAAACAGGAAAGTAAGTCATGGTGACTTGTCTGTTAATTGTAACGATGTGTCTGATGTTAAGCATGACATGGTTGATGTTACTGTTTCGCCGTTCAGGGATAATAGGAACATCAAACTCCCTAAATTTGAACCACGGTGTTTTGATGGAAACCCGGCCGATTATTTACAATTTGTAAAGGAGTTTGAGATCATGTTGAGTGGTTTTTTATTAAATGATGAATTGAAGTTAATGTATTTGATGAGGTATTGCACTGGAGATGCTGCAAGAGCTATACAGTACTGTAAGTTTATGAAGCCAAAAGAGGGCTACAATGAGGCTATGAGCATATTACGTCAAAGGTTTGGAAGACCTTCGATGATTGCAGGGAAATTATTCGAGGCTGTTAAGGTTAATGGTGGTCAATTACAGAATGACTCCCAGGCACTCACTGAGGTTTTAGATAATTTGCTAATTTACAAGAATGGAATGATTTCGATGAATCGCATGAGTGACCTCAACTCGAGTTTTATACTAGAAGTAATAGCAAGACGTCTACCTACTCGACTGCAAAGGAAGTGGGTGAAGATAAGCTCCCGTATGGAGGATGAGGGTATCGAGCCAAAGTTTGATGATATCCTGAAACTTGTAAAAGATAGCGTCAATCAATCTATGAGCAAGTTTGCCAGTATATTGAATCTCACCCCTAGAATAGAGCAGTCTGAGGGTAAAATGCAATCATTGATGACGAGTAGGCCTCAGAGAGGTGGATATCGAGAAGGCTCCATGATGTCCAGTAATGCATATAAACTTAGTGAGTGCAACAGGTTTCGTAGTACATCCTCAACAGATAAGTTACAAGATGCAAGACAAACACGGTTGTGTTTCACACGTTTGCAAGAAGTGCGTACAAAGGTGAACTGTGAACCAGTGAGCAAGTTCAGTGATAAGCTAAATGTAAACTCCAGGCATGACTCCGAATTGTGTGACGATAACGGTTTGATCAGGAACTCTGTAGTTGCAACTGGTAAGCCATTGTTGGATAGAGTGTCACAGAATAGAGTTGCTGCTTCAGAGTCCATTTCTGACTCCACAAGTTTACAAAGTATAATTAGTCAGAGTGAAGATATAAAACCTTTAATGATTTGTGAGGAGGAACCAAAATTGTCTACTTCTGTTATTAAAGAGTTTGAAAATGATGAACTTGACGGTAAATTGAATATTTGTGGTAATGATCATGATAGTGCAGATTTGTCTTTGGTTGATCATGATGAAATGGGGGGAATGCCTACTACCGCTAAGTTAAATAAAGGTTCTGTAGAACTTGAACGTGAAGTAGAAATAAATGCAGATTCAGTTGCAGAAGGCACGCATACTTGTGAGACTGTCAGTGTGATTGATCAGCATGTAGCCCACCTATCATCAGATGCCAGTGCTAAGCCTGAGCTGATAGTAAAAGACGGCAGTGGTGGTGGTCTTGCAGGTAGACAAATTTCTGAAAGTCGAGCAACAACAGCTTTTGATCCACTGCTAACTTCATCAACTGATATCAATCAGTCGTCGTTGGTGCTGTCATCCACAATGAAACATACACCCATCAACTCAAGTATCTTGTGCAATGACTATGCTAGTATCAGTTCGTTTGAAAGGACGAATATCAATGGTCAGTTTAGTGAGGATAAGCCAAGTGTAAACGAGAGAGTAATTGTTAAATTGACTTGCACGAACAAAGGCATTTCTAGTTTCAAGTTACTATTTGAATGTTATTATCTTTGGTGTAAATTACTCTGTTTCTGCACTTGGTTGATGAGATATGTCGTGTGTTTGTTCGTCATCTATATTCTACGATACAATTACATGAGCGTGTTATCGTTCAGATTTGAGGATATAGCTCATAGAAGGAAGTTAGCAAATGAACTCTGCGACGATTTTCCAACCTAGAGCGTCAACCTGAGAAGGGTTGTAGGCGTACTGCTGTAAGTCCTACAGTTCTTCAAGGGTAGTTTGTCCTGCCAGAATACACAACATTTGATGTGTTGATTGTACATATGTTTGTGTTAAATAATTGTGTGAGTTCCAATTGATGTAATTGTTGGCTAATCTTGTTTGTGTCCGGACATTCCACAACCTACAATCGTCAACCTGAGAAGGGTTGTAGGCGTACTGGTGTAAGTCCTGCGATTCTTCAAAGGAATTCCATCAAGACATGATCCGTGAGCTTGTGTGTACTGTTTGTATATATGTGTGGTGTGTCGTATCAATTGGTGTTTTTTGGATTCAT